AACACGGACACACAGATTAGGCTTGCTTCCACAAAACTACGGATTTTGTACATTTGCGGGTTGACAACCAGTCAAAAATATCTCTTTCTGGACATTTCTTTACCAAAACTAGGTTGTTGCCAGCAGTTACAAAAACCGCTAAGGCAAGAGGAAAACACTAGCCCTCACTTCGCCTGCAGTTCCAGGTACATTTGTTCCTTTCAGTTTACTGGCCTGATTATCAACCAAAAAAAGCATTGCTAAAAGGAAAACCATCTTTGGCTAGAGAAGGTCCCTGGCACTCAGGCAGCCTTACCTAATATGATTTCCCCAGTACATTTTCCTGCAGCCTGAAATACCCTTGAGATCCTCCAGGAATGCTTGAGCAGAAGGAAGAGGTAGGTCCAAAGCCCCGCACTGAAGGCTGTTTCATGCAGCAGTCCTTACACCACACACATCAACAAGAGAAGGAGAAAGAAGGATGAATGAAACTTTCCTCTTTCTGTCCAGCTTATAACAACGTCAAAAGCATACTTCCCAGTTGTACCGCTTGCTGAGCCCTCACTGAGGTCCTGGCAGGCAGGGACCATCTCTTCGAGCTGGGACTCCCTGGCCTGCCCCCGATTTACACGCACTGCAGAAGGGTGGAGCAAAGTGAGGGCACCTACTGCTGGGGAGACAGGGCAACAAAAAAGCCCAAGTCAGGAAGATCTCAACTCCAGTTTATTTCTTAACTTAAAAATCCTTGTACCACCACACACTGCATGGGGAAGAAAAAACTGCTCTGCAGAACTGCAATACCTGCAATAATAAACTACAGTAGGTATATAACAAAGGTTAAAAAGCCTCAAATCCACCTATACATCTTGTCTCCATCAGGGTTTTCCACAGGGTCTCTACTTTATGAAATTGTACCACTTTGCAGCACAGATAATCCTTAGAGTCTGCATTAGATTTCTACCAAAAGTACTACAGAAAGCAGTATAAGGTTCTTTACAGAGGTTTGTTGTCTCACAAGAGCTGTTAATAAACTCCTGAAATACCTTTTGAAATCCTTTTATTAGTAGTAAAATTAGACCCATTAGTGAGAATTCCTAGTCTGAACCCATGCAATACCAGATACCTGCATTTCATTTACCATGTGCCCTGAAATGGGCTAGGACCACTCACACAACTTTACTATGGCTCCAGCAGCATTAGCAAAAAGAACTGCAGCTGGACGGTGGTAGAAAAGCAGCTCCAGGAAGCCTTTTCTCAAATGGCTCTACCTGTACCCCGGAGTGCACATGGCCTTTACCTAAGTTATAATAGGAAACTGCAGCAATACAGCTTTGTTGGGGGGGTTTTGGGGGGGGAGCGGGACATGTGGAAGAGGGATGCTTTCACTATGCCGGTGCAAATCAAGCTAGTACAAATTGCACTTGGCTAGACACATGATGACGTTAGATACATGGGTCAGACCTTCACTGAAGAAATGGTTGTACTGGTTAAAGACATTGTGACATTGCGATCTCTCATTTTTTGTAACTCCCTGTGGCTGACGCTTATCAGCTTTGCGCCCCCCCCCCCCCCCCCCGGGTTTGAAATCTGAGAACATCCTTCATCTGGTTTGGTACAAAGGCTGGCTTAATTTACAAAAAGAGCTGCCTGAATTAAGTCAACCTACTTGGCACTGAAGCAGATGCAGAGTGTTCTGAGACCATGCTGTTTTGTATCTCCTGTGAGGACACTGGTCTCCCAACAAGAGGATAGAAGTGCATGGCTGGAGAAGTGAAATGCTTGCAGGGAGTGCTCTGCTACATCAGTCTTAACGGATAAGGCATTCCCAGTGCTGGTACAACTGTTGACTCCAATTGAGAAACCATTTTCTTGTAGACGTAGGCTAACTCTTTTAGCTTCATGGTAACTTTTTTCATGGCGTGTTTATGTTTGTTACTAATTTAAACTGATTTAGATGAAGCTGTTCTTGTTTCAGACTTGGCCAAAGTATCATGTCTTTTGGAATTGAGAGTCTGTGATGTATGTTTGTATGTAATTCAGCTATAACAGTGCTAGAAGAGCTTACATGCTAATACTTCTAGGTAAGACAGTTAATAGAAAGAATGTTATGATAAAAATCATAACATGTTAATTCAGGAAGGGATTTTGTTTTTCCTGTTTTAAATAGCAACAATTTTGAAGAAGCAGATTATTCCCACCATTATGCTGTCTGCCTCTACCTGTTGTGATTCACAAGAACTTCTAAAATAAACATGTATTAAGGTTTAAGTACTTGCTTAAAACTTATCACATGTGTTCAAGCACTGTCGTGACAACAGATGCTGTTCTGAATTAGGACTGTAAGATGTTTCACATAAAATGAAAGAGGTCTTTTTTGCATATATTCACAAAACATGTATGTTTGTTTTATCAACATATGAAAATATTTACTTGTGGTATATAGAATCCGAACAACTCTTGCTTTCATTTGAGTTCTCTAGCTGTATAACTGGGTATTCTGAGTTTAAAAAGAACAGCTGTTTTTTTGTTACTATATTAGGAACAAAATATTAATTTACAATTTGGTCTAACTGGTAGTATCACTTTAAGTTACAATATTCAGATATTGAAATGCCATCATTTAGCATCTCGTTTGTTAGTTTTCTCCTTTCCATAGCTTGAAGGAAGAAAAAATAAACAGAGATAAGTAAACACAGGAACATCACTTTTTTTTTTTTTTTTTTGACTAAAAGCATTGTCAATATAGTTGTCCTGGAGGGGTTTTCTGGGTATCAGATTCCTAGCCCTATACTGGAGGTAACTTTCAAAATGGGGATGCTGGCAAAGAAATATTGATCAATTTTCCCACCCTGTATCGTTTGTTTAAGATCAGAAGTCATCCCTGCAAGACCTAACAACCTGGAGAACTGTAAAGCAGTTGGTAAACGTTTCTCACTGTGGTACCTTGTTTCTTCCTTCATTCTCCCTACAGCCTCACCAGCAAGGCACACACAGGAATGGGAACAACATAAATTGTTCAGATGCTGCTGTTGTCTGACTGGCCTATGGAGTTGAGATTAGTGTGACACCATGGAAAAGCGCTGCTGTTTATTGTTCACAGAATCTACCAGAAGGTGATTGCTTCTGCCCAGGGATTTGCAAGGAGCTGCAGTAAGGGTAGATGAACCCCCTTTATCAACTTCAAGTAAGATAAGAGTGGAGCCAACCAAAGAGCTGGTCCTGACCAGTACACAGGAGGTGGTTAACCATTAGTTAGGGGCTTCAGTGCTGTTCATTCTGACAGCAGGTCACATAGCCTGTGTGGATACGGGTGGTAGGAAAATGTGATGTTGCTTTATTCATTCACATAACCCCACTTGTGCTTGTCCAGGGAACTGTAAGTCTGTAGCCTACATCTTCTGGGACTGTTCCCCAATGTGCAAGAAGACCACTACACTGAAAGATGAAGTGTGGATAATACATGATGCATTTTGGTATAGTAGTGTTTCACACCAACTGTATTCCTGTGTAGATACTTAATATTTCTGACAGCTTGAGCATCAATAGATGCCTAAGGACAGGAGGTAGCAACGGAAAACATAGAAACAAGGATGAAGAAAATGTGGGTGTCCCTGGCTTCCTGGGAGCTCTGCTGCAAAGCCTGCTCAGGGGTATGAAAAGTTTAACAATGGCCAAGTGCAGCCAAAGTGTCTGCTGATTAGAAAGCTTTAGGTTCCCATATTCCAGCTTAGGGCTAGGACCAGAGCTCTAATCAAATTGGGCACTGTTAAATCAGTTATGCAGAATGTTATGGAAAATAATGGAAAGCAATTATCTCCCCTGGACATTTATTGAAATTTTGGGAACAGATACTTCTCTGAAGAAAAGCTGTCAGCCTGAGTGACTTACAATTCTCTGAGAAAAGGGCAGACCCCAGGCTTGGAGCTCTGAGTGTGCTTAACTCATTAAATTGTAAGGATCCTGGATGGAAAGACCTAAACTGAGCCAGTCTGGGATTTTTATGTTTATTTGTTAATTTTTTGTTGACTACAGCTGCTACTAGGTCTTTTGACAGCCTCCCAGGAGTTTTTGCTTCCTAAAGCCTATGTAAAACTTAAACACCATTGGACTAAATGATTTTTATGGTGCCACAGAACTTTCCCAATTTTCTGTAGGATTGTGTAGGGATTGCTATTGTTGCCTCTTCATCTCTGTGTATGTATGAAGCGGAGATCATACACAGGCACAAGAGCTTGCAGTGGTTCAGGTGAGCAGTATAAATGCCCTCAGCAGCCTTTTTCGCTCTGGATTAAGAACAGCTTACACCGGTTTAGTTGAATCTGCCACTAACTGACTAGAAAGTAAGAAGCAGGAAAATAAGATAGTCCACACAGTGACTGACACCAGTTTAACTAATGCCACAGGTCTACAATCAACTTAAGCAGGATAAATGGCTGCTGCTGCTAAAAGGATGAGTCCCCTTCTGTTCATACCATGGGCTATTTGTTCTTGCTGCCTCCCTCACGCTGCCTTTAATGTATTTGCAGTCATGAGTGAGGCGGAGCAGGGACTTTATCTGAATGAAAACTCAGCTGGCAAAAAAAAACCCGGTTAATTTTCAGCTGGATCAGTTCCTTGATGTGGTTCACCACATAAACACTAGCGCTGGCAGAAGCAGGAGGAAGGGATGAGCAGCCATGGTCATGCAATGGGCAGCCCCTTTCTGTAGCACATCTGATTTATACCACATTAAATTGACTGTGGAATTTGTAAATAGATTTCAGTTTATAAATTTAAACTGGTCTCCCCCTCCCTAGGAAATAAACCACAGCCAACATGTCCACATGATAGTGATACCACTTTCTATGCTCTTATCCTATTAGCACTGACTAATACAGAGGAGTAAAGCAGTCATCCCAATTCTCTCTGACAGCATATGGATGTGGGTTAGTAGAAAGAAGATGGGAGTGGTATTACCAAATGAAAGGAAACAGCTACAGCAGTCCCTTGGAGAGGGAGTGTTATGCAGATGTCATACAAAGATGTAATACTCTGTCACAAACTGACATAAATTTATGGAATAAAACCAGCCTCATAACAAAGCATCTCGTAGGTTTTCCTTCTACTGAGTCTGATGGTTAGTCATTAAATATGATGAAAAAAATCAACGTGATAATGAAAGAGTTTTGTAGTGAAAATTAATGTAGTTTGTGTCTTCTGTGTACAGGAAAAAAAAATCTGCCAATGCACAGGCAAAGTGATAAGAAGATCCCGGTTATCTTCCTCTGAGGGAAAGGTTCTTTGGACAATGGATCAACATGAACACCAAGAGGCTGCAAAACTGAGACTTCTTTTCTTCT